GAAAGAGAAAAAGAGCAAAAAAAATGATAAAAAAGCAGAAAAAAATATGCGAGAACGAGGAGAGAGAGCGTGTTTTGTGCAAGAGAATCGGAGAGAGGAACGGAAGGAAACACGTACGCGCGCGCGAGCGGAGAAACCATCGAACCATTCGAAATGAACGCTGGTTCAGAAAAAAGCTTAGACTAGTGTTGTGAAACGCTCGAGTCTTGAAAGCAACAAGATTCAAGCTTAGAGGCTGAGTCTTGAAAGCTTACAGTTCTGTAAAGGTTGAGCTCTAGAAGCTTTAAAGTTCCAAGTTAAGGACTGAGCCTTGAAAGCTTAGAGTTCTATAAAGCTTGAGTCTTGGGAGTTTTACAGTTCAAAGTTAAGGGCTGAGTCTTGGGGGCTTAGAATTCGATAAAGCTGAACCACTGGAAGCTTTAAAACTCAACGTCGAAGGTTAAGTATTGAAGATACAGAATTCTGTAAAACTGAAGCCCTGAAAGCTTCAAAACTCAACGTCGAAGGTAAAGTCTTGAAGGCTTAGAGTTCTATAAAGCTGCAGCCTCGAAAGCTTCGATGCTTAACATTAAAGGCTGAATCTTAAAGGGTTAGAGTTCTATAAAGCTGGAATCTTGGAAGCTTCAAAGTTCAAGCTTAAAAGCTGAGTTTTGAAAGCTTATAGTTCTATAAAGCTCGAGTTTTAGAAGCTTTAAAGTTCAAGGTTAAGGGCTGAGTCTTGAAGATCTAGAGTTCTATAAAGCTAGAGTCTTCGAAGCTTCAATCTTAAAGAAGTTTTTGAAGCTTCAGGGCTAAAGTTTCAAGCTTTGACCGCTCAATCTGAGACTTAAGAGTCTTCAATGGTCGACTATTGATACTCGACGAAGCGAGCGTTGAAGACTCTGACTTTTAAAGCTCTAGGCTCAAACCATGAGAGTTCAAGACTCAGTACTCGTTTTTACAACACTAGCTTAGACGTTTATCAACACAGTATATAAGAGAAAACGTTAAAGCACAGCACCCAGACGTGCACCACCAGAGATTAAGGAAAAAAAGCTTCACGATTTGAGCCCCCTACCTCTGATTCTTCACCGTCATCCCCTAACTACCCCGGTTTACTGTTAATTGTTGGTAACGAGTAATCAAGACACCGACATTGTACATTTCCCAGTCGAATCGGTCTGTTGGTCCGAGCATGCGAGCATTTGTCGACGTTGCAGTTTCATTTGGCTTGTAAACCAATGAATCTTTCGATCTAAGAAACGACGTGTTTCGTTAGCTTGATGACTTGATAATTGCCTAGCGTATACTAAGAGGAACACTTGGTTCAAGTTGACAAGTTTAATTTAATGTGTCTTGGTTATTGTTTTATTTGAAATTTTGATCGAAAATGTGTTGTTTAAAATCTTTTATTTAAAATTTTGATTTTGACATGTTAGCTACGAGATCTTTTTATTGTGAAAATTTAAATAGATTTAGACAAAGGCAAATTAGAATGATTTGATGGGAATTATATTGTGAGAATTGTAAATTAGATATAATTGGTGTTCTAAGAAATCTTAGAACGAAATTGATAAAGTGAACAGACTTGACGAGATAACTTGTCATCCTTAGTTAATCTTGATAAGATAACTCGTCATCTTTAGTCATTGTTGACAAGGTAACTCATTATCCTTGGATGGTGTTAACCAGATAATACGTCATCGCCGATGAACAGGTTAAGGGATTTTCTAGTAATAAAACATTATGAGGATGACTGTGACTGCAACTAATCTATTCAAGGTACTATTCGTATTAATGTGAAGTATCTGTTTTCAATAAACTGAGATACTGAGTACAATGAGATCATTATATAACTGTACTTGAATGTCTGTGCGATACATGCCGGTATTTAATGCATCAACCCAATGGAATATCAATATTCACTGCACAAGTGCTGTGAAAACTAGTATTTACGTGCATGCATTGAAACACTGATACTAAATCCATCGTAATAATGAGATACTAATACTCGATAGATTAAAGTACTTAATACTGATTCTTAGTACACAAACGCACTGAAATATTTATACTTATATATTGCAAGACTTAAATACCGGTACCAATTACACAAGAATACTAAGGTACTAATTCTCAGTTCACTGAAATACTAAAATACCAATACTCAAAACAGGAAAATACTAAATACCAGTATTCAGACCATCAAACTACTAAAACAATGATACTTATAGTTTCGAGTCACTTGAATACTGGTGCTCAATACACAGGAACCCTCGGAATACCTGTACTCAGTATACCTAAATCATAAAGTACCTAAATTACAATAACAAGGTCACCATCATCGGTTCATCCTCACAAATTCGACTCAACTCAACGACAAGAGTTAAAAAAATTCCGATATTTTGCAATTTACTTATGAACGTATCTTTTTTTTTTGTTACGTTTACAACTGGCTCTATTGAACCAACTATACATTTTCTGTTTTCTATTCCTTGTTTTATTAATAAAGCTTGTAGTTTCGCTTTGCGAACGTATCATTTGTTACTTTGTTATTTGATACACGATATTATAATGATCGCTGGCGGTCGAACAATAATAATACTCGAGGAACACGATACGTTTCGAAGGATCGAGGGACTCGTAGCTGCAACGTCGCGGAAACACCTGTTCGGACGAGCAGAATAGCACGAGGCGTTAGTTCGAGAACGATTGATACTAGATTATAAGGACTTTGGGAATTCTCTGTAGATCCGTAGTTCGCTGTGTCACTCGCTCCGGTACTAGGTGACCGGAAATAGGAAAGCCTATTTTTGCATTGCGTGATTAAAGGCAGAGAGAAACGTGTTTAGAGTCAGTTACCATTCAAAACTGATATCTATTCGGGACGATGTCTTATGTAAGAGACCATGGGACGGTGCAAGGACAGTTCCACGGGATGTTCGGCCATTTTGTCGGCGCCGCGCGATCGCGTGATCGAATTGGACGATCCTTTTTTTCACTTTGGTCGCGATAATCGGAACGGATGTTGCTCCGTTGCTCTTTTACATACCACGGGTAATATGGAGACAAAACACTTTGCAGTTTATAATGCGTTTTATTGTGCTTTTGTTGCTGTGTTCGTTGAAAAACTAGGAAACTAATAGTATACGTGAAATTCATCAGTAATACATTTTTATATTATTGAGAGTAAATGTACTGGTATTTAGCTTATTGTTAAATATTTGTTAACTATGTGATTCCACTTTTTAGAAGATTCTTTAAAATACTGGTTTTGT